TTCTCAACTGGCTAAGGCAAGACTAGAATCACGGTCTTCCACTTTCCAGTCTGATATAACTTAGTTCTATCCCAGGTATGAGATTATCACTGGAAAAATATAATTAAATGCATTTCTAAGTCTTAAACCAAATCCTCCATTCCTATACCCCTTTCCCATGACTGCACCTTTAACTAGGCAGCCCATTTTTACTGTTCTATTTTAGCAGGTACAAAAAAAACTTAAAATTGTATGACTCCTTTAGATGAGCTCTAAGCAGAATTAAGCATGCTGATGTTTTGCCTATTTCTAATACAATTCCTGAAAGGTTTATATTTCATTGCATTTGGCTAATGCAATATATAAAACAAGGCCCTTTAAAAAAGAAAAGAAAAGAAAAAAAAAACATTTGCATTAAAGGCTGCCCAAATTTCATTTTGAGTTTGGAGTAGAAATATTTTGCCTGGATTCTGTCAAATTTCATCAATTTTAATAATGTAAGAAAATGCAGTGTCTTTGGAAATATGATTATGTTTCCCAAGTTTGTTAAAAGTTTTACTTCTGAATAAAATGTAACTTTGCCAAGCTAAATCAACTCGATTTTAAGTCAAGAACCAAAAATACTAAGCACGCAAATAAATGCAAGTAGATTAATAGGCACCACTTCGGTTGGAAGATAACAGCATTCCTTGTTCTTTGGCATATAACTGTGCTGGTCACATGACCACAGAAATTGTCTTCAGACAACATTGGCTTCTTAGGCTGAGAAATGGAGATAAGAATCATGTCCTAGAATCAGACAAGACTGACAGGGAGAACTTTAGGTCTCTCTCTCTGTGTGTGTCTGTGCATGTAGGAGAGTTATAACAAATGTACAAAAATTGAGGAGTGCACGAGATTGATTTCTAAAAATATTTGTGTATACAAAATTTAGATTTCAATACAACACCAAGAATCTCTTAAGCAGCCATACAAATGGAACAGAATTTGGCCACACATCTAGCAGCAGAATACAGTATTCTCATCTTGCAATGGTTAATTAACAAAGGCCATTGTTAAATCAGTCTGCCGTTAAGTCAGTGGTTCTCAACCTTTTTAATGCTGCGACCCCAAGCTGGTCGTAAGTCGAGGACTACTCAACCGGTCGTAAGGCAAGGACTACCCAACCGGTCGTAAGTCGAGGACTTTCCCTGCCCGGGAGCACCGCGCCTGTGTGGTGCTGCTCCCTGCACCGGCCAAGGTGTAGCTGGCAACGGGCAGCGATGGCACAGGGCGACCACTGGCTGGGCCACCAGCTGGCCCAGCCCAAGGGAGGTAAGGCACCCGCCGGGCCCCACGCCCGCCAGCAACCCTCCCTGCGCCCGCCGGCCTCCCATCTCCCACCCCTGGCCCTCTTTTACTTACATTTTTAGTAGTTGTTCAGCAGGGAGGGGTGAAAACTTCCAGACAGCTCGCCTTTGCTGCAGACAACTTGCAGCACCATTTGCAGAATGGGACTTTTGGCAGCTCAGCAGGGCAGAGATAGCCTGGACAATTCCTATTGGCTTTTGAAAGCCAATAGAATTAGACTCTATTCAAGAGAGTCTATTCTATTGGCTTTCAAAAGCCAATAGAATAAAAGGGAGTAGCACAGCTAAGGAACAGGGGAAAAAAATGGCGGACTGCATTGTTCGATGACCCCCGTGAAATGGTCATTCGACCCCAAATGGGGTCACGACCCACAGGTTGATAACTGCTGCGTTAAGTGATAACCTGCCATGAGGGACATGCACCTTGAATGGGAATTGGAATAATTTCCAAACTGGGTAACAACAAAGGTAATCTCAAATTGGGGGTAATACTGTACCTATTTTAAGAAAATAGGTAGAAAGGCATTATTTACACCTGGCTGATGTAAAGGCATTTTTATTGTAGCGCAGCACATATAAATGCTATATACCAATTAGGCAAGAAGCCTTTGCAGGTGACCCCTTTTTAACAGAACACAACCAAAACTAATTAGTATTCCTAGAAAACTGCAGGAAAAGGCACTTATTCACAGTGGGAATTCAGCACTGTTTGTTCCTTACTGGATTCTTAATTTTGGGCCCATATTGAAATATGAATTAGAGGAAAGCAATACATTATTTAGAAAATTAGTCTCAACTTTTAATTGTAAAATCACAGAATGAAGTTTACAATGACTGTTGCATTTATTATTGTGGGTGTCAATTAATACATTTCTTTTCCTTCCTAGAGAACTGTGGCTGAAATTTAGGTTATTTATTTTTTAATGTATTGCAATTATTTTATTAGGGGAGCAGCTAATAGAAAACTGATTTTACTTTTATATGATTTTATTAAGTGGAATGACTTGAAATCCAGGAAGATGTGGTGTTTTTAAGAACCAAAATTTTCTTGAGTAAACTTGCATCAATAATTTATTGTTTTCTGATGAAAGAGCTGTATTTCAAGCACATTATCAGTTTAAGTTGATGACATCTTCAAGTATTGCTCTGAATTCAGCAGTATAAAAAGTTTTAACATTGTTTTACAATGACAAAACAGCAAAAATACAATACAGGTATTTGTATTTAATATATAAAAACACAATTATCAAGAATCATGCAATACAATTTGGTGAGGCTTATAAAATGGTCAATTTCACAGTTAGCAAAACTGACTTTATTGTCTCTGTCATTTATTCAAACCTCTGGATGCTAAGTATATGATCCAAAGTGCCATACAGTGCAGATGTGCATGCATAGAGAATTCCAGTGTGCTAAAAAAAAGCCCAACTCTCACTTATGAGAAGCTCCACAGACACCTGTGATAGTAGACCAAGGCAATTACATTCTCATTAAAATAAACATCAAAGCCACCAACAAGCTTGGGCCACTCCATCCAAACTACCAAGATGTTAATTTTTCCCACAAAACAGAGAACAAAGGAATCCTATACAGAGTAATAATTTCCACTATCACTAGTATGAACACATTGTTGATGTAGTTTATGTGTCTAGGATTATGTGTCTAGAGATTCCCTGGGCTATGACAATATTTTATAGTAACAGGCCAAATGTTTATTCTCAACAAAAAACATTTTAAGAATATTCTTTCATGCTATATCCAAAGAGAAAAACCTATTTCTAAAGAACCACTTTGGATTATCGGATATACAAAATGTAGACATTGGCAGATACCAGGCACTTCAGCACTCTGGATATTGTGGTATCCACTGCTAATCAAAGACACTTAGGACGTAATAGTTACAAGAACCACAATGATGTGATCAACTAAATTAAAATGGAACATTTCAGTAGAAAAAAGATAAGTAGTCCTAGACTTACAAATGTTTAATTACAGCTTGAAGTTACAATTTATTTATTTTATTTTATTTATATCCCATCTTTATTATTTTTAAATAATGGAAGGCAGCAAATGTATGTACTACTCCTTCCTCTTCTTTTTACAACAACAATCCTGTGAGGTGAGTTGGTGTGAGAGAGAGTGCGACTGACTGTCCTCGAAGTTGTAACTGTCACACACCCCATTATGTGATTGAAATCTGGCCATTTGGCATCTGGCTAGCATTTACAGTCTCACAATTCTGTTTTGTGATCTTTGCAGCAGGCTTCCAATACGCAGTATCAATTGGGGATTTGCAGAATAAATGCACGATTCACTTAATAACCACATGATTTGCTTAACAACTGCAGTAAAATGACCATATAATCGTATCCGGTCATCTGATGCCTTTCTTAATAACTGCATCCCTATGGGACCAAAATTCTGGTCCAAATGTTGGTCTTAAGTCAAGGACTACTTTTAATCCTAATCAGTATTTTCATGCAAATGAAATGGTACTGAAAAACAACCATATTTAATTCACCAAATACAAGAAAGCCTGAGGCATTTGAAGAGCACATTGCATATGTTCAGTGCCAAGTTACAGATGTGTCAAACTATTGTATATTTCCAAGACTACATTATAATTGTTGGCACTTCCTGTGTGTAATACAATTTGAAATCATAAATGCAACCACCTATTTATACTGCTTTGGCAAAGGCCTGGTGAGTTTTCTCTACCTAAACTAAAATATTTACATGGAATGTTGAACTGTCAAGTCAGTGTTCAAACTACAAAGATGGATTTGTTTAATAAATTGCATCAAGAAATATTTAAAAATCTATTTAGATCTTTTGTCATAAACTCGCAAGTCTGTCTGTCTGTCTTTGGTTATTCGGGTTTTCTCCCGCGTCAAATTGGAAGTGTCTTGGCGACGTTTCGATGAAGTCTCATTCGTCATCTTCAGGCTGGTGTTTTCGGCTTCGCACAGCCAAACCCCTAACCAATCAGAACACACCTCTACCCAATCAGAACACATCCAAGCTCCCACCCAATCAGTTCATACCCCCACTGGCAGTTAAAAGGAAGAAACAGCTAAGACCACACATTGCTTCTCGAAGCACGAAGCTGAAAACACCAGCCTGAAGATGACGAATGGGACTTCGTTGAAACGTCGCCAAGACGCTTCCAATTTTACGCGGGAGAAAACCCGAACCACCAAAGACCTATATATATATATATATATATATATATATATATATATATATATATATATATATACACACATACATACATACATACATATATAAATTCCTAAATTTCTTTGCCTTTATATAAGATGCTAACACTTTAAATGTTAGCATAAAATAACTGAGCTTCTTCTTTGCATGCTAAGGCTATGAGGCATAATCATCACATGCTCTTGGTAAGACAGATTCACTAACACATAACATATATTTCTCCTTATCCAGTAACTCATTTGGTGTCTAGAGAAAAATTTAAAGTTTCTTTCTTCATTTGAGAGATTAGAAGCTTTAAGTATTACCTGTGACATGTGTAAAATGGGAATGATTCACAGGTTTTTCACACTGAAACACAGTTTGTTGGTTCTTCTCAAAGGCAGTTTTAAAAAGATATATATTTAAATTAATAAAATATAAATACATGTATACAACTGACTCAATTACAAAGGCTACGATCCTCCACCACATTATTTTATTCTTATGTAACAATTATTCAAACAATTTCAAGCTTGATTTAAATGAAAATCCCATTGTCTTAAATCCAACAAGACAATATACAAACACTCAAGGTGTAAAATATTACATATTTCTTATTGAAAAGAAATAACTTAAATTTATTCCATGTCAAGATGAATATAGAGGAGCAATTTGCATTATAGATCAGTACTAAACAGACACTTATATTCTTAAAAAATAAATGCTCCAGTTATAATATATTCTCAAGTGCTAACCGAAATCAGATATAGTACTAGTCATGATCTTGCATGTTAAGATCTTTTTAGTTTAAAGGAAATGTCATGGGGAATGCAAATTATTTATGAAAGATAGTACTATAGTAGTTGAGGACACTTTAAAAAAAACAAGAAGAAAACAATTAAATAAAAATAAGGCTTCACTTTGTTCTGCTGCCTAGAAAACTGTTATTATCAACCCACAGAAAATAAGGTCAATCGTCTTCTGCAATGTTCATCCAACATGTCATAACTAGAAAAAGACCCCTTAAACAATATGTCCACTTAGACCCAAGCTAACTACCATGAAGACATTTGTGTAGCATTAGGAATGCACCCAACTGACTGGGACCCAAAATGCTTCTCTTTCCAGTTTCTCAAAAATTGTTTTCAATTCATTGTATGCTGTGGTAAGATCATCATTCACTACAACTTTGTCAAAAAGATGGCTGTATTGACTTTCCATAATCTGGGAAGATTTAATCATTTCTTGAAAATCTTCTTCCTAAATAAAGAGAACCAATTAGCCAAGTGTAAAAGCAAATCAAGTCATAGCACTATTAAATTTACAGGAAATTATAATTTATATCTTGGATACAAATCTCTATAATTGGAAAGCATCATTCATATAGAGGTAATCCTCAACTTACAACCAGAACTGAGCCTAAAATTTCTGTTGCTAAGTGAGGCATTTGTTAAGTGAGTTTTGGCCCATTTTATGACCTTTCTTGCCACAGTTATTAAGTGAATCACTGCAACTGTTAATTACACAGTTTTTAAGTAAATCAGGCTTCCCTATTGAGTTTGCTTATCAGAAGATCACAAAAGGAGATCACATGACCCCAGGATTTTGCAACCATCATAAATATGAGCCAGCTGCCAAACCTCTGATTTTTGCCCATGTGACTGCTGCAATGGTTGTATGTGTGATAAATGGTCATTAGTCACTTTTTTCAGTGCTGTTGTAACTTTGAACAGTCACTAAATGAACTACTGTAAGTTGAGGATACCTGTATAAGGCATGCCCCATATACTGCCCCTGCTGTAAATAGCCCAATATTTAGTTTTCATTAGCCACAGATGGCAAATCAATGTCCCCTTCTCACTGTATCTTTCAGTACTGCTATGTGATTTAGGATGGACGTTTAACATTATCTAATAATTCATTAAAATTATAATTAATTAATAATTGTAATAATTATTGTAATTATTACAAAATGTTATCTCAAATTAAAATTATTTTGAAACTTTATTCTATCCAACTTCCAAACAATCCCCACTCTGATACATATAAGACATTAATAGATAATTATAAAATGCCTGTGTGTTAGAAACAGAAATAGAAAAAATGTTTTTAAACTGTTTATATGAGTGATGCCTTGAGATGCATATTATCTAAAATTAGGTCTGCTGTAAGGAAGAGATTCAATAGGAAACTATATTTATTTTTGAAATTTTGAAAAGAATCGAAATAGTAGTTATAGTTCATTCAATGTTTATATCAGTGTTTTTGGAAAAATTGAATATAACCATATAAAATTAATTTGGAAAAAAAATCAGTTTCACAAGTATTGGGCGATCGTGCCTGAAATGGGACCATTTGAAGATAACCAAATCTTAAAGGAACAAAAATTAAGATTTATTTTCATATTTCTAGGAAAGCAAAATATACTCACTTGAAAAGGCTTGGCAGCACCTTTTTCATCCTTGCTTGAAATTATTTTGGCATTTTTTCGTGTCTCTCTTAAACGCTCAATTGATGGAGGTTTTATAAATATCACAAATGGTTTGAATTCCAAAGTCCTTAGATGCTTCACTGTCTGGAGAGTTGAAAATATTAAGAAGAACATGTTTATTTTAAAAATTATTTACTCTGAAACAATACAGGTCATCTCTAGTTTTTATGTGGCATTCCTCCCTAATAACAGATACTGCTATATACAATTTATATAGCATTTTAATTGTTTAGCATAACATACACTTGTTTCATTCAAACAATTCTTTGCAGAATTTGCTGAAATGCCAGTCATTTTTGGTTGTAGTATCTTTAACATGAAAATGTGAATAAGGGGTGATATAATTCTGAACAAGATTTTAGGCTAAGCAGGCTAACAATTCTAGTACAATTGCTAGAATGTTACTAATTTTCTTTCACTAATAATTTCTCCCTGGAATTGTTAATAGAGAGTGAAAGACATATTATCTTAATGGTAGGAAAACTAAATACTTTATTGCTTACTTACATGAGGCTGTACATCTAACAAACAAACTTTATTTTTTGCCAGAACAGCTCTAACTGAGTCAATGCTGGTACCATAGTAATTATTTTTATATTCCCCATATTCAATAAACCTGAAATAAAAAATAATATTTTATATTTCTTTTACAAATCTTATTTCCATATATCTTTTTTGTTTTTTAAGAAAAACAACCTGATATCTTTATTGTATCTATTGACAAAGACGATCTTGCGAATCAAGTGCCAAATAACACTTTTTAAAGAAATTCAGATATTTAAAAATTGAATGAATATCATAATTATTACAAAATATCTTATTTCAAATTCAAATTATTTCAAAATTTTATTTGTTTAGCTTTCAAACATTGAACAATTAGTGTAAATCTTCACAGTATATATGCTGGACACAAAACAAGTATGATTAATTCTTTTCTATTTTCAAAATATCTTTTAAATACAGAGACTGAAACTTCTGATAGATTCATCTTGGGTTTGTCTTTAGACAAAACTTAATTTCAAATGATGGCACGGTAATGTGCATTTCCATCAGTGTTCAAGCTGCCCACTAAAGTGCAATACATATGGTTTATGCTAGAAACTGAAATTAAACTATGCTTTTGTCATCCAAGAATTCTCATTCAAGTTAGCTCTGGCATTTGGCAGAACACTCAGATGAAGAAACATTCTCACATTAGCAATGCAAAATGGCACACACACAAACAAAGACATGAATTTCGTGCTTTCCACATACTTGTTATTCTGTATATCTGTCTCGAACAAGTGCTTGGAAATAAAAGTGTATTCAACACCATCACTTTCTTGGCTTCTTCGAGGTCTTGTTGTGTCTGGTTTTATTGAAAGAGCATTAAAAACCACTTTGAGAGTAAATGAAAATGAACAGTTCTATTCTACTGGTTTTAATTACCAACAAACTGTTGAAATTCAAGCAGATGGAATTCAACTCTCAGAAATTCGTATGAAAATTTAAGAAATCTATCCTTTCTTCTCAAATATTAATATGGAACTGGTTTTGGTTGGTACATATCCTCTCCTTGCTGTCTTGCACCATCTATATCAAAGAGCAATAATCCCATTATATTTGACTGCTCAGTCTACTGTAACTGTGATATCAAATTCCCTTTCTAGTGATTTCCATGGTTATAGAAGGCTGGCAAAACAAGAATACAAGGTTTCCTCGGCATAAAAAAGTCCTTTGTCTGCTTGTTTCCACCATGCAATAATGGAGAACTAGAGCCATTTACGTTCCTCATGAAGTGGAAGACGCTTTAAAAACTTAATTCAGATAATCCTTATCCCTATTCAACTCCAAGCAGATTATATTTATGCTAATTAAAAGGAAGCTGAATCATACATTAGGAATTTATAGAGCAGACTTTTTCACTTACGTGGAACTGTTACACCATAATAGTGAGTGTCACTGATTAACAATTTCCGTTTTAGTTCATTCAGTCCTACACCAACAGGACCTGAAAGTTTAAATGTGTTCCAGTTAATTGTTCTGATTATTAATATTATAACGTAATACAGTAGCTCTGATTAAAAATCCAAAATGTTACTCAAAAGTGTTTTATTGGAACAACTCCAGTGTCTTCAGTATTCACTAGGCAGATAGGATTTCCAAAGTCTATGTATGGGTTTCCCAAACTTTGGCTTTTTACTATCTCTGAAATCAATAGCCTGTCATTTATTCTGCCAAAGATACACAACCTTGAATGGTCAATTGGCTAATGTTAAAAAAGAATGTTGATGGAATATAAAGATTAAGCTGGTACTAATCTCAAAATTCATGATGTTATATCCTTCCTTTTTTTCTCAGTATATTTAATATGTACCATACTTTGACTTAAAATAGCAATGCGTGATTACATCTTCTTACGGAGAAAAAAAAAAAGCTGTTTAAGAAATCTTTGGTTTACCTCAATAAAAGTTGTGTGCTATTCAGGAATGCATTTAGTTAATCTACTTGTTGGGTTTAGATGAAAATACTCAGAAAGAGACTAAATATATACTTTCAAACAAAACTCCAAATTATACAGGAGTTACTTATAATTTAGGCAAGATTAACACAGGAAACACATTACTGAGGAATACTAACAAGTTTAAATGTATTATAAAAGTCTAAAGATGATATATTTCAACTACTGCTAGCTGTAGAACCCTATGGATTCCAATAAGATATTCACAGTGCCCTCAAGCACAGTGACATATAAAATAGGATTAGTATTTCATGGTTTTCTTCTCTCCAACTTTGTTTTAGTTCCTGCTATGATATTTTTCTCATCTTTATTTGGAACAACATTCCAATATATAACGCAGTGTTTCTCAACCTTGGCAAGTTGAAGATGGGTGGACTTCAACTCCCAGAATTCCCCAGCCAGTCACCGGTATAAAGGAAAAGGGGTAATTACCACTTTTTCCTCCACTGTCACCTGCCCCTCTATTTGTACCTGGATTCTAGGGAGAAGATGCTCTCCTCGATGGCCAAAGATTAGGCCAAAAGCACAAACAGAAGATACCTTACACAATTAAACAAGAATTAATGACAAGATAATGAATTCTTACTTTATTTATGGTTTGTTATAGGACATGTTGCTAATATACCCTTGACAATAATAAAAATTTAAAACCTGATGAGATCTATTATCCTTTCAAAATGACATATAAAACATTTTAGGTTGGATCCCAACTTTTTATTATATAAGCAGAAGTATTGTTATATCTATGGAAGAGATCTCTCTGCTCATGGGAGAATTCCTTCTTTCAGTGCCACTTGCTTTTTGCTTAAAGAACTGGCATTTTATTTCTAAAATTGATTCATTGGGAATAAATAGCTTGCATGGTATGTGCAAAAGCTATCAAAATAAAAAATTACCTAAACCTGCAAACACCTAAACAATTAGAAAATGGATGTGTCTGCAGATTCAACTAACAGAAGAAAGTCTTATTTGGAACATCATGAGAAATGACCTAATGATAATAGCTAAGGCAGTTCTACTCCATTAGTCGCAGTACTACTCTGGAATGGGACAACTCATTGTGGCCAATTTGCCATGGCCAATTTGCCACGAACAACTCGCCATGGGACAATTTCATGCAGGATAACTCAATGCAAGCTGTTTTTTTTTTTTGACATTATTTTCATTTTGATGAAATTGGACAACATTTTGTGGTGGATAACATTTATTACATTGCATTTGTCCCATAGCAAGTTGTCCTGTGATGAACTGGCCAGGACGAATTTCCCACGTTGAGTTGGTCACAGTGATATGACCATAGTGAGTTGACTGGAGCAAACTGTCCTAGATCCATATTACTCCATATATCAGCATGTTATGTTCATGATATAATAAAATACCGGCCAGACATGACTAAAGCCTATGTCGGGGTCATCATCCAAAGCAACTAAACAAGCAATCACCGGCCAGACATGACTGAAGCCTATGTCGGGGTCATCAGCTAAAGCAGTGGTGGCGAACCTATGGCACGGGTGTCAGAGGCGGCACTCAGAGCCCTCTCTATGGGCACGCACGCCGTTGCCCCTGTTTTAGGCCTTCAGCTGGATTTTATAAAACCTTTTCACTTTAGGCCTCCGCCACCATGTGCAAAAAAAAAAAAGGCTTCAATCAGTCAATTTCAACTTCTCACAGGAAAAAAAAGATCTTGCAAAGTTGGAATTGATTGATTGAACTTTTTAGTCCCACCCAGTCTGCCGTTACCACCGCATCCACGCCCACCCAATGGGCCATGCCCAACCAATCAGCCACACCCAGCCAATGGGCCACACCCACCTGGCACTCGACGGTGCATAAGTGAGTTTTGGGTTGCAGTTTGGGCACTCAGTCTCTAAAAAGTTCGCCATCACTGAGCTAAAGCAACTAAACATGCAAGCAAGCAAGCATTCTCTGGCAGGGAATGGGATATATGTATGTATGGTGTTTTAATTTTGCATTGTTCTGAGGATAACACAACTATTTTAAGTGCAAAATAGGCTGTTTCAACTATTTTAAAACTCCCAAACATCCCTATGTTTCAGAGTTTCAAGCCAAAAATACTTCTGAAACAGTCTATTTCATATGCAGCAATAGGGTATTTCAAAAATTCAAAATCATCTACATTCTACGTATCACTACTTAAAAGCTGAATTATGTATGGGAAGAATGATAAAACAGAAAGAAGAATGTACCTTTTTTCATCCCACTCCACCTCAATAGATTGAAATACCCCTCTAAAAGGAAATAAAAACAGAAAAGACATGGAGGGCTTTTCTCCACTGCTATTACTATCCCCACAGGAATGAAGAACAAGGGGACTGCAATCTAACAAAACAGAAGGTTGCACTAGTGAGCTTTTCAAGAACCAACACAGAATAGTATACAGGTAATCTTAAACTTACTCAACCACAATTGAGCCCAAAATTTCTGTTGCTTAGCAAGATAATTGTTAAGTGATTTTTGCTCCATTTTACAACCTTTCTGCCACATTTGTTAAGTAAACTACTTCAGTTGTTAAATTAATAACATGTTGTTAAGTGAATCTGGCTCCCCACTGACTTTGCTTGTCAGAAAATCACAAAATATATGTAGCATCATTATGCATTATGTAGCATCATAAATATGAACCAGTTGCCAAGCATCCGATTTCTGATCATGTGACCATGGGGTTGTTGCAATGGATATGTGAAAAATGCTGTTTTTTCAATGCTGTTGTAACTTCGAACAGAAAGTGTACAAAAAAGCAAGCTTGTGGTTTCTGCAGACCAACACTAAAATCAGTAAGACTACTCAGGCTTATTTTAAAAATGAGATAAACAGGGCCAGATAAGGTTGAAATCATGTTATAAAAAAGTTATGCTTGGTGAGGATACTAAATTTAATTTAAAAGAACTAGGCAATATTTTTAAACAGATTCCAACAAAAATTTTAATCCGGTTTTGCCTCAACCAACTATGTAAAAAAATTAATTAACTGACTTTGATAATAATATTAAACGTATTTCACACGTCATATTAGATGCGACTATTAGCTCACATAAAGCTTTTAAAAATCTGATAATCTGTATTATGCTCCAATTAATACTGCCAGTTTTTCCACATTTTACCAAAGACACTTTTATGATTTTGGCCAGACTTATGCTGTTTCTAATACCAAGAGAAAAAAAACATCAAAATGACTGAGGACTGCAATAAATTTGTGAACTACTTTTGTTACTGTAAAAGCACACTTTCTTCACTTGATTTATTATTTCCAAAATAAAATAAAATTTCTAGATATTTCTTAAAGCTAGCATATGTTATAAAAAGTCTACTTATCACACTTTTCACAGGGTTCTGTTGATATAGGTGTAAAAGCAACTCAACCATATTATTACTTACTGTGTGGAACCCACAATTTCTTGCTCACAGTAGTAGATGCCTGAATTTGTGCATTAGAAAATGGGAAAGCTCTTTTTAAACACTGATTTTAAGTGTCCCCTTGGATATAGGTTTTATAAAAACAGCAGCACTAGGGTCATATTCTTCTGGTTTGCAATTTTTAAATGGAAAAATTCTACTAATGAAGCATTGGCCAGCAAACATGTAATGCAACAAATACTAGGAAAGTTGAAAATATTGGATTTTGAATTAGATTAAGAAAACATCTTAAAGAAAAGTGCTGTTATTAGTGTGAAAATACTAAGGGCTTCTAACTCTACTTCACTTTGTAATTGATTAGACTCCTCAAGAATTCATGTCCTGGAGCACAAGTACATAGCTCAGTTAATTCCAATGGCTGATTTTGAACATTTAATTGTTTTAGTTATAAGGAGAATATAGCAATAGCAAGCACAATAGGGCACAGCCTCTACCTATACAGGCAACTAATAGTCCCCACTAATTATGACAGAGCAATTTGCATAATTTTAAACCACAGTATCTAGAGAAACCACCTGGTATCTAGAGAAACTTCAAATTCATATATTTATATAACATAGTGCATTAGTGCATATGAATGTGTTGTTTATAAAAGGTATCATTCTTGACCTTCAGAATTTATGCAAGATTAGAGAGTATTATTAGTGGCACATAATAAAGTCCTAGCAGTTTACTCTTGACTCACAGAAATGATAGGAACATGACATTCTAAAGCTCTAAGGAAAGAGTAAATGATGATAGTTATAAAAGCTACTACAAAAGCTATTCAATGCCACTTTTATTTTAACATGGCCAATTGGCCCATTTAGAGAACAGTAACAAATTAAGACAGTAAAAGCAATTCCACATTGCATCTTAAATTACTAGATGTTTCTGAAACCATCTTGAAATTCCAGTCTGGACTGTAATGGGTTGATGCTCAGATTAAGGGGACCAGAGGCCCTGAGTGATCATGCAATGGCTTTTTACCCTTCCCATCTATAGAATAAAGGCAAGTCTGTCTTGACAGGACCATGTTTGAATGGATCTTCCAGTGTCTGCCCTTTTCCTTTTAGGAATGTTTCCACTTCACTAAACGACATGCTTTTCCTTTGCTTTCCCAAAGGTTTGCATCTATAGACTCTTCTTCTTCAACATTATCACACTCTTTCTTTTCCAGCCATCCATTTTATATCTTAGCCTATCTCATTTTTATATGACTCTAGCCAGCTTACAATAAAACAAATGCACATCATTAATATATCGTTGTTGCCCGATACAATAATATTCCAGGGTGTTCTTTGCTTCTATGTTCTATTGTGGGACTAGATAAACTTCTAGGAAGGGAAGTACCGATGTTTCAGTTTTATGGAAGCGAATTCAATGAAGCTTTGTAGTTTTATTCTAATATGACAATGCTGCAACTTAAAAGATTTGAGTAGGTAGGAAGGTTTACAGTCTGCAAAAACAAGAGGGAAATGAGTTACCCAGAAGGATCATAAATTGAAAGGAATTTGCCCACTGGGAAATAGGAGATGCAAGGAGAGGAAGTTGGAAAACATGGGAGAAGGTTCATTATAATGCTATCATTGCATCAACCACCAGATGATAATGAAAATGAGGAGGAGGAGGAGGTGGTGGTGGTGGTGGTGGAGAGGTGATGGTTAACCAGTGCATGGTTAACATGCAGAGTAACAGCTCAGGATGAAATGGCTACATGGGAATAGGAGCCACCAACTACAGGAGATGAGAGCCAGATGCTGTAACTAATTGGAACTGGATTAGAAAGAAGTGCTGTAGACCATCTGCTTGAAAGAGCTTGTAATAATGTTTATGATGGGAAAAAAGCAATTCTGAAAATTTGGGCAGGGAATGTATTTGTGATGAGTTGAAAGGTTGAATGATAGTGTCATGTACTATTGTGTTCAAGAAAAAATGAGTGCACTGGACTGCTGAAGGGGTAAACAGATAATGCAGATCTGTTCTGGGAAGGGTGAAAATGACCAACAGTAAGTACCATATATTCCGGCGTATAAGGTGACCCGGCATATAAGACAACCCCCGACTTCGGCACAGAGTCGCATGCCTAGAAAGTCATCTTATATGCCGGAAACTACCATTATTTCTGCTGTATAAGACGACTCGGTATATAAGACGACCCCCGATTTCGGCGCCGATTTCAACGCTTTCAACAGTCGTCTTATAATACGATAAGCATATAGAAACAAGATGACTTGAGAAAGCAAAAGCAGAGAAATTCTTTAGGGATTTTCAAACTATTGTTTTGGGGTAACAGAATTCAGAATTCTTAGGCAGAAATCCAGCACTTTCCTTTTGTATAAACTATACATATACTGTAGCCTCTAATGAAAAAGCTACATGTTGCTGAAAAGCTTGGAAACTTGAAAATCCTGATTTTCAAATAGTGAAATGCTTAATATAAAGCAGGACCTTAAATACTGGCAACTATAACCATGAAACATCCTTTCTGTGAAAATTCTAATATTCAAATGCCTCTTAAAGCCTTAAAAACAGAACAAGCAATTATCTTGATTTGTTAATTTACTGCATTATTTGATTATAATATTAATTAATTTTTTCAAAAGCAGGAAATTGTAACAGATGAATCAAGGTTGAAATTTATAACATTTCTGACATCTATATATAACAGTTTTTGGTCAAGATTTGAAATTTTTGCAAATTTAAAAACACAAAACAGGCATGGCAATGAAAAACAACTGTAATAAGACTAAAAGCAATGCAGCTCAAGTTCCATCATTTGACTTAACCTCTTAACTTAGGAATTAAAACTTACCAACTAAAACAATAAGTCTATATTTTTCATTAGGCTGCCGCCTATATTTTGCTACTTCTTCATAGGTAGGGACATCTGCTGTGTCGTACTGATCACTCTTCTTGCATTCATACATTGTCTTGTTTGTTTTTTTATCCTTTCTGCTTAGGCGAAAACTTCTCCTAAAGCCAGCTGTGGTTAAATTTAAAAAAAAGCAAATATATGTTATTAGCCAATAAAGAAAACCACCTATAACAAATGTTCTTCCAAGCAAATTAATTACTACTTTTGCTATCAATGTTTTCACCATTATTTTTACATATAAATATATACAGATTATAATACAAAATGCTTCTATTCCTCCAAATATCATATATTATTTTGCTCATGCAAAGTCATACATTAGGACATTGAAATAAATGGTTTTGTTTTTTTTTAAATCTGTTGACTAATAAGAAAATTCTTTAAAGACACTGCAGTTCATTTGGATTACTCAGTTATTTTTTCTTGAGACTCTTATTCTATAAATATGTACTATTGATAAAAAAGAGACATTATCTAAATTTTGTTCAGTTTCACATATGAAGCATATTTGTCTTAGGCACTCAAACCAAGAACATACTTTGCCCTTCAAATCTGCACTATTTGCTTAAAAACTCTCCACCCTCACTAAAAGATATCCAGAACTGTAAATAAGTAACTATAGAACGCATGCAATGGGTTGATCATCTCTCTCTATATATGCCTATTAGATCCAGCAAAATTCATATAGTTGATATCCATCGTGGTTCAAAGTGACATACTGTGTATTTATAGACAGCGATTAATAATTCCATGGTCTAGTTTCATTAGAAACAATATAATCTTTTCAATCACAATAAGCAAGTTTTTAACAACAAAATCATAATATATTCATTAAAATGACATAAAGAACAATTAAAGAAATTATCATGTAATATAGTTTTGAAATTAAAAGGAGTAAAAAATTAGAATAGTCAATATAAATAATATACAATAACATTTTTGGGGTATTTTCCCCATTTTTTCCCATATACAATTCAAGGTGTTGAACACATCTAATACTCCTTCCTTCTCCTATTTTCCCTACAATAACTATTTGGTGAGATGAGTTGGGCTGAGAGAGAGAGAATGATCCAAATTTTTCCTGAACTGTACAACTGGAAATCACATGATCATAGGATGCTATGACTGTCTTAAACAACCACTGGTTGCAAAGTGACCAACTCTTGATCATGTGGCTAGGAAGACACTGGCAGTTGTAAGTGCGAGGACTAGTCATAAAACTACTTTTTCAGTGTTGCTCTAACTTTGAATGGTTGCTAAGGAAGCAAGTAATCAAGCAAGGTCTACCTGTATGTTCCTTTAAAGGTAGAAATCTGCAAAAACTTCAGATATACAGATCATCTACTCTCCAACTGGGATTCATTGTTGTTTCTTATGATGAAAATTATATCTGATAAAGAATCATGTGGCATAGATATTGCTGAGCAGATTACATCAGGAGGTGGTTTAGATACTGTCAACACATTGTTATCAGAACCATTACGAACCCAAGGAAATCCTATTTTGTGAAGATGGAACGGCCATAGTATTGTAGTGCTAAGTATCAATTGTATTTTGAATGGTGTTTCTCTGGGTGACCAATAATGATGTTGCTAAGAGAGATCCTAGAAGTCATTTAAATTTTGATGGTTTCAATATTATGAGCTTCATGAGATATTGGGGTAAGAGGGGCTTGAGTAAAGTTTAGAATAAATAATTAAGAATTGGAAGTTCTTATCCTAACTGACTGTTTCACAAGCTGCCTTCCTAAGGAAACATGAATCCATGATAGTGGCATGACATTTTGGCCTACGTTCTAAGGCAGTGATCCACAAAGCTGAAATAGAAATGTATAGTGACTATTTGTGAAGAGGAAAAGCTGCAACATTCTTAAAAAGTAGCTCCAAAGCAAGATACAATACAACTAAAGGAGTTCCGAAAGAAACCTGGGAAAGGACAAAACACTGAAAAGAAATCCAGAGAAAAAAGGAAATGAGAGGAAAAAAAGATCTGCAGTAGGCAAACCACAAACACTTTTCAATGTTGAACAGTGTTGTGGAAAAAACTAGAGGTTTTGACAATAGGGCTGAATTTAGGGAGTTAATGAATAAAGCTCTTGCGTTTTCATCCTAGATGAAGGATGTTAAGAACCAGCTGTTGTAGAACTGATCTGCACAGGTGCAACTTTCAAGGTGATATGTGGAGTTTACAAAGAGTATGAATGATTTAACTCTAGTAAGAGTGAAAATGCAAATAACCTTATGGCTTTTAGAAATAGAGATGGCCTTCATTGAACAACACTTGTTCAGTGACCACTTCAACTTACAATGGCACTAAGTGAGTGGTACTCATGACCTGTCCTCTTATTAATGTAAGTTGCAGCATCCCTATGATGACATACTTGCCATTTACAACTTTTTGTCAGCTTCCTACAAGCAAAGTTGATGGAGAAATGGGCAGGACGTTGGAAATAGCACTCACTTAAAGTGCACAAAGAGTGATTTAATTAATGACGGCAACCAGAAATCCTGGAATTTCCATGTTAAGCAGAGTGGTAATGTGACATCAGACTTTATGACCATCTTGCTTAATGACAGAAATTTCAGTCCCAATTACAATTGTGACATGAAGACTACCTGTTTGTAGGCCTCACTTTGGAGAAATTTGAATAAAATAATTTCATGAGAAAATGCCTGCAGTTTAATAAATCATAGCAGCAATATAAAGTACCAGCTACAGATATAGTCAGGTCCTTACAACATTTTAGTATTTATTTGTGCATTTCTTTCTTTGCTTGACTTGTATTCACTGAAATCACAAAGATTTTTAGACATTTATATACTTGATTATTGTAGGTATGCTTCATATTTAATTAATAAAACACCTGCACAATCTATTGTTACCAAATCAATGCAGTATAAGTTCAAGTCACAAAGTATTTATTGGTGGAAACATAAGCTGATGGAAACTTACAAATAAAGATCTGGTAAAGATATCAGGCTTATTATTAACATAGGGAAGATATTTGTATATATGTGTGTGGGGGGGAACTAATATGTTATTCTACATAAATAGAGTGAACATCACTCTTCAGAGAAACTAATATCATTAAGAGCCAGTGAACATGGCCAAACATTCCTTCTACTCAACTGTTTTCTAAGGGTAATACTTCTCTTTTATACACAGAAACGAATTATTAGTCTGTCGTTCACTTAAACAGAGAACATGGAAATTAAAAAAATGAAAGAACTTCAATTGGGGGAAGCACAGAGTAGAAAGTCAAAACTGTTTTATATACTGTAATGCTAGAGTCTAAGAAAGAAGGAAAAAAATATATTGCAATGGTTTCCCCCGTGACACTATGAGAGCAAACTTGAACAAGGAAGAAGCCGGAGAGAAAGACCATGGATACCAAGTCTGTAATGTTGAGAAAAGAAAGAGAAGAGGATGACCAAGGAGCAAGGTGGATGGAACCTACTACAGCGGTAAAGAGCACACCACCAGTAAATCTGAAGGGCCAGGTTGGGAACAGATTATCCTAGAAAATTTTTTATCTCTGTGGTTTCTAAGAGTAGACTCTGTCTTGACAGCATGTGATCAATCAATCCAACAGAGGAAATAAATTTCAAAACCACCAAAATGGTAAGTAACTTAAGTAGCATTTCTCCATAGTGCCTTAGGTACGATGCTACTTCATGATATACTGTAATTCCTGAGACATTGTTGAGGGGGGGGGGGAAAGGGTACTCTTGCCAACCCCATCCAAATTTCAACAGCAAAGCAATTTTACTTAAAGAAAAAAGAACATGGTTACAATTTGATCCAATAAGTCTCTGTCCCAGCATGAAAATTCTTCTCTCTTTTTCATTTGGCGTTAACTTTCCAGAAAGTACAGCTATTGCTGCAAGTTTAGGCTCATTGCCAGTTCTAAAGTGCATAGCTGAGGAAAAGCAAACTCTTCCCTAAAGGGCTTTGTCCCACATAATGTCAATGAAAGACCCTGAAAAGTCAGCTCCTATATGCAGAAACCTCATCCTTGGCCCTCATTTCTCCTGCAGCCTAGAGCACAACAGGTTTTACAGAATGTTTATGTCTGCTTTTCAACTAACATTTCACAGCCAATACATCCAATAAGGTTTTTAAAAAATGTTTTATGAATAATTCAGACACTAGGAACAGATATGGAGCAAGACTAAACATTTTCCAGCTTCAGAAAGGATGCCATTTAGTTTTACAGCTTAGATCTCAAAAATTCTTTGAAGTGTGAGTAAATGCGCATACACACCCATGAGCACAGAAACCCAAAATAATATATCATCAACAGCAGTTTGCACGCTTGACATTTTGGCCTTCCATGACAAACAACGTACCTAAACGCAGCAAAGCAATATACTAAACATGCTCAGCTCTTACTAAATTGCAAAGTTTATTATGGGAGAGCTGCTAAATTTAAACATTTGAATCCCGCACAGAAATAAATATATAAATAAACTTGCTTTCAAATTTGAGAATAAACAAAAATCAAATTTAAAAACTATCTTCTAAAATTTCATGCTAGGAATGTTAAGCTTCATGATGATAAAACAAAACTGTGTTCCTCATTATAATATATCTGTAATAATGTACTTTATTTTTGCTTTATATTTGGTTTAAAGGCTGATCTATAGGACACAAGTTTTAATCTTTGTAACTTTTACTTATAAAAATATTATCCTAATTGAGACAATGATGCATCAATCACAGTTTTAAAAAATGCACAAAAATGTAACATGTATGCAAAGATTCATAAATAACAGCTTTATACACAAAGACACACACTAAGTATTAAGTAAGTGAAAAATCATTTTTTAAAATATTGAGAAAGTCTAATAATAAGAAAAATGTGAGTTAACATTTTAGGTATCTCAGCTTGCAAGAAAATATATATTATATGGGAGAAGAAACAATCTCTAATACCTAACTCTTGACTATATGGCCATTGGCACATATCTATTAGATGAATGAATTCACATGGAAACAAACCTGCCCACTATCTCTTATGAAAATTTTCATATTGAAGGGGTTTCCCCCCTCCAAATACACCAATGGTTCCCAACCTTTTTTATACCCCGCACCCTTGGAACGCTTCTGATATATTCTTGCATCCCTTATAAAAGTTCAAAACAACGGCAACGAATTATGCATATATGCTATAATTTTGAAAACTCAAATTTTCGCACCCCCTGGAATATTGTCTTGCACTCCCTGTTGGGAACCCCTTGAAATAGAAGAACGACTCTTCCATATATGGGAATTACTATCCAATAGAACCTTAACATCAGATACACTGAAGAAGCAGTCGGTTTTTCTCTATTTTGCAGTGTCCTACAAAATAATCCATTCAGCCAAACGCTATTATCATCATGCCCTCTAAAACAGACTCTTCAGCTTGTAAAGACTATAAAAAGGAAGAGAACAAAATATTCCTTTTTTTCCCCTTATTGGCAAATGTGGAATATTTTTCCACTGTAATAAAACAGTCAAATCAGTCAGTCAATATTGCTTAAAATGTTCTACTTGTCAAGCCAACGATGTTGTAGTCAATGAAGTATGAATAAATATAATGAATTGGTACATGGACTAGTCCAGTGATGGCGAACCTTTTAGAGACCGAGTGCCCAAACTGCAACCCAAAACCCATTTATGCATCGTCGGGTGCCGGGTGGGTGTGGCCCATTGGTTGAGTGTGGCCAATTGGGAGTGTGGTTTATTGGATGGGCATGGCTGCAGTGGTAACAACAGACTGGGTGGGATTAAAAAGTTCAATCAATTCCAACTTTGCAAGATCTTTTTTTTCCCCTGCGAGAAGTTGAAATTGACTGATTGATTGAACCTTTTTTTTTTTTTGCACACGGCATCGGAGGCATAAAGCAAAAAGGTTTTATAAAACCCAGCTGAAGGCCTAGGACTGAGGCGATGGCGCGCATGCCCACAGAGGGGTTTGCCACCACTGGACTAGTCACTGTGTACAACACTCCTATTGGATCATTAAGATAGGATGCAAACAAATATCAACACAGTTATTCAATTGCATTACTTTTGAAACGATTTGATTTACAGTGATAAACAGCTGAACAACTGCATAGGCCTCTATATCTTCAAACAATTACAAGGACCAGGGAAGCCCATCAATCAAGATCTACTATTGATGGATACAGAGCAGGCATGTGCAATCTGCAGCCCATAAGTGCACGTAGCCCTGGACAGCTAATATTGTGGCCCCATAAGACTGTAAACTTTTAATATTACTATGTGATTTTTAGTGATGTTTCTATGCATTAACTATATATTTTTATATGTGACCCATGACAATTCCTCTTCATGCAATGCAGCCTAGGCAAATCAAAATGTTGGATACCCATGATTATAGATTTTTTTCACTAAAAACTAGTTTAACAATCACAATCTGCTTTTGTCACATCTGATCAAATGGGATCTTGTATTTTGCCTAAAACAGATCTAACACATACTAAACATACAGCAATTAAGATGAAACAAGGTACAGAAATGACCAAAAAGGACATCAGTGTATTCTCCAGATCATTTTTTATCCCATCTGGAAAGTTAATTCAAAAAGAAAAAGGGTGGGAGAATTATGGACTTTCTGCCATCTCACAAATAAGAGACTCACCCAATATATTATTATCAGATGTTTGACTGCATCTTGCATCATGACAAAATACAGAGACAGGCATAAAGCTGTGGCATCTTATGGAATCTACTTGAGATTTTAATACATTATTTGGAAAAAATGAAGTATACTTTGGGATACACATTTTCAGTTCCTTAGGCATTTATATATAACTCACTCATTAATTGTATGATACATTTAACCATGACTACGCTTGGCATATAAAACAAAATAAGCTTTGTTTTGTCAACTCACTGAGGATGGTACTTCATGAAATAGGTGGACAACAATGACAAAAAGTCCCATTGTATTGTACTATCTTCATATATTGGTGCTACTAATATGCAGGCTAATTCTGTATAAATTTTCTGTTACATCAGTGGTTCTCAATCCTTTCTTCACCACGGATGCCCTTTAAATAACTTTTGGGGCCATGGACTATGGCCATGGATCCCAAAGACTTAACTCAAGATTTAAATAGTAACATTTCTTCATGGCTTAGTGGACTCCCTGTGACATTGTGGTCCCCCAGGGTCCACTGATTTTAAAAACGTATGTTTTTCATGCTTTTAATTAAATTATTCTTATATTGTATCCAAGCGTAACCTCTTCCTAGTATATGTATAACAACAATCACAGTATTGACCATAATGTGGAAGGAATTGCCAATGATAGTATTTCCTGAAACAGGAGGTTAAGGATGAGTCAGTCTAACACTAACTTCAAATTTAATTGAAATGCTGTAATATATACTTTTAAAAACTTAAGTCACTTTTTTCGCAAATTAAAGACAATATTTCAATAATTTCCCTATTTCTAAATTAATAAAATAGATTACTTTTAATAGATTAATCCTTTGTGTCCAATCCAGTGAGCCATTTTTTTTTATTCTAACCATTTCACAACATGCAGAAATGCCAATTTGTTACCTGCAAATTTGTAGCTCATCCAGGAAAAAACTGAGAAAGAAAAGAGTCTTATGTAAACAATGGCTCACCTATAAGGACTCCATTGTTGTGACCAGCACATTCAACTTCCTCTGGATGAAGTGTAAAAGCATACAGAACAAAAGCCAAGAAATAAAGCAGAATAGTTAGATGCCCAGCCATAAATGCAAAAGAAAAGTTACTTTAGAATGACAACAGTATAAAGCTTAGCATGGAAAGCCTTCAATAAATCATTGTTTAAAAATAAATCATCATATTTTCTATAATATTTTTCTACACACAACAACATGCATACTCCGTGTCTTTATTGCCTTTTTGTGATAGAAATTAAAGGTGTTCTATTTAGCTTTAGTGCTAGATAAAAACGCAATAGCAAAGATGAAATTATTTACAAAGAATATCAAAGAGGTTTTATATTTGGCTCAATGGATCAGACAGAAAGGGTTTTGATGAACATATAGCACATTTGCTCAATCCAAAATATTTTCACGCTTGTCATAATACGCCAGAGGTCTCTTGACAAAGCAGGTTAAAGGTTTATTTTAGTTATACTAAATAGTTGATTTGGTGAATTAATGACTGCAATTGTTATGTATTCTGCAAATGACAGCAGCACAGACTTAAAAAGAAGGAAAAGGACCTGTAAATTGAGAAAATAGGTTCTAAAATTATGTCTCTGAAATCTGCAATGGAAAACAACTTTTTTTTTAAATGAATTCTTTTAGAATCATGCAACAGCACTGACTCTGTCTTTAGGCCAACTGTAATGTTTTGAATGATAGCACCTGTTTATTATCTTGTTTTTTTTAGTAACATTCAAATAAATTACCAGAAATTTAGCCAAAGCCTGCAAATTCAATCCATACACCAAAACATATTTCTGCAGGAGAATTTTTCTTTCCAGAGTATCTTAGGTGGGAAGAGAAGTATGTAGGGAATAATAAATAGAAAAGGCAAATCTGGCAATGAGTAATACCCAAGGAGCTCCGTGCCTTATCCCACAGTTATCATCATGCATGTTACCTTGCACATGACCAATTTGCTTACAGCCTTCATAGCACACGGCAACTCACTTTGGAACTCTATTGCAATAGCTAAATTACTAGTCTGTATCACTAAATGTGCTGTTATAAACCACATTTAATTTTCTAATTGTTTCTAAAGTAGAGATGCCTAGCTTTCAGACCATCTCTACCACCAAGCAGGGAAACTTACATGTGTACCTTCAATTTTCTCTGAAAAGCAAAAAAGGGGAAAAACAGGAGGCAAGATTACACAGACTGAGAATGCAGTAAAAAAATGAAAACTTTAAAACTCAGAAGAAAGACACCTACCACACTCAACTGTCTCCTCAGCTTAGAAGAGCCAAAAAACAAACAAGTAGACACGATTTATTTAAAATAATATATTCAGCAAATAATAATAAAACTAGGAAAGACAACATATAATCGCATAGCATTGAGAATGCATTAAGAACATAATTTTAAGTAGTTTTCATTGGGAAGTAGGTTCCCAAAGTTTGTTCTTTTAATTGATGCAACATCTGTTGTAGGACAGCCAGTACCAGAGAAATGCTTAGCCACTGCTAAATTTGCCAAAATCTGTTTTCTCTCATTAACAAAGAATTCAGCTGAGACAGAAGAAAAAAGAGGCTAGCTAATTTTTTTGGGCGGAAATACTCATTTGTTTAGTTTAACTATGATATTGAACTACCAGGAGTATTATACCAGTATTATGGCTCCTTCAATCACATAATTGTGTGATCAGTTCATTACCTAACTGCTGCCCCAATGATCTGGAATTCAAATAACATGTTCAAACTTCTCAAGGCCAGGGCTGTACAAAGAGTTCCTAATACGGACTTGAGCCATACAGTTATATAACTAATTTTGTACCTGTTTTTCTGTAAGATGTTTATTGTAACTATTTTGCTATAATGGTAAACATGAAAAAAAATCTCAATTCAATAACAGGAGGAAAATATTGTTTTTGAGATAATAGGGACAGTGTATTTTACAATAGTGATGAATATCTATAGTTGGGATATAGGATGAGGTGAAGGTTCTTTCTTCGAGCTTGTGGCTTCATCCACACAGTGTATTTTGCTACTTGACAAGACAGAAATGTTGATGAAAAGTGAGATCACTTTTACTAAGAAAAATGAATTAGCAGATTCTAAAATTTAATAGTTTTGCTATCAGTTATGCCAGCATATAAATTTGGTTCTACTCATTCAGATTTAATAAAATACGTAAATACTTCTTGTTTGAATACCACCTTTTGAATTTAACATCTGCTCATGAAGATCTGGCCAAACCATGTATTGTTTTTATTTCTTTAAAGGGCATGTGAAATCTAAAATTGTGCTGAATGTTTGTAAGAACTATAGATCTAAGTCCTCAGGAAAAGCCATCAAATGGATAACATGCAACTGAGACACCTCATATTTACATACATGAATCTAGGTTCTAGGTCAGGGGTAGGCAACCTTGGCTTTTTTATGACTCGTGGACTTCAACTCCCAGAATTCCTGAATTCTGGGAGTTGAAATCCACGAGTCATAAAAGAGCCAAGGTTGCCTATCTTTGTTCTAGGTGCTACTTATATGAAACATAGTCATTTACCACTGGCTCCATGATGTCTGACAAATCTATTTTTTGCCTGATTGTACCTTCCAAAAATTTGTGATTAATCCATTCCTGGGCTTAGTTACTTTTCAGACCTAGTCTGAAAATCAACACTGTTTATTTCTTCAAATCCAGAATTTTAATGAAACATTAGTAAACACTAGAGGCTTGACTGTCATTATAATTCTTTCCTGCATAACACACATAGGGGTCCTTGGTGCTCTTTGAACTTGGTTGTTTTCTTGTAGACTGTTCATTAGATAACATCATTAGTACCAGTTATAATAAGACATATATTAATGGAAGTTGGGACCCCTCATGGAAGTTTTTATTTTCTTATTTCTAATTCTGATAGCGCGGAAAATATAAAATTAAATATCTCCTGATCTTAAAGTGTTTATTTATTTATAGAATTTGTTTTTAAGCATGGTTTGCTTAGCTTTATCAAATTACCTATCTCTTATGTTTTCCACCTCTTATTTTCTTATATCCTATCATCCTTGGATTCTGGCAGAATGAAAATTGGTGAAGCATTGAGCATGGTGCTGAGGTAGATATTTCAGACATTAAATGTTTTGCACAATATAGAACAGAAACTTCAAGAAAACAGAATAATTGGCTTGATGAAGTATTTCTACTGATTCCAGCATGGAAAAAAAGAATAGTGGAAATATGGCTACAAAATATCATTTATTTACAATGTTCTTAATAACACATCAGTGAAGTGGAAAATTGATACACAAATATGATCATATGATTCTAGATGTGATAAATATTTTTATAACAGAATTTTTTTTAAAAAAAGGACACATTTGCAATTTAGTGGTAATTATATTATAGAATGTTTGTTTTTAGAACTCAAACTAACTTAACCTGGAATTGCAAAAAAGAGTGGTACATTAACAGAACAGTTTAAATGATTAAGGAAACAATCTATTTCCTACATCTATTTTATTTTCTTTACTATAGTAAAAGCATATACTTTAAAATCTGGAATCAGCAACAAAACCAGCAATTTCTCTTATACAAGTAGAGAAGGTTGGGCCTAAAGAATGAATAGCATCACTCCTTTACTGCATAATTTATAAATGCAAAAAGCAAATTGTGCAGCAACAGACTTACATGATTTCTTATTTGAAATCTTCAAGGGCTGAAACTGTACATCTGATCTTCTTAATGCAAGTCTCCTATCAAGTAGTTTGAGGAGGGGAAGAAAACAAAACTTTTAAGCTTTCTTATTTTTAATGCTCTTTTAGTAACAGTATGTATAGGTAGTCCTCACGTTATGATCACAATTGAAACAAAAATTGCTGTTGCTAAGCAAGACCATTGTTTAAGAGAGTTTTGCCTCATTTTACACTTTTTCTTCGCACAGTTGTTAAGTGAATCACTGCAGTTGTTAAGTTATAACACAGTTGTTAAATGAATCTGGCTTCCCCACTGACACTGCTTGTCAGAAGGTCGAAAAAGTTGTTCACATGATTCTCGGGACATTGCAATTGTTATGAATATGAGTCAGTTGTCAAGCACCTGAATTTTGATCACGTGACCATGAGGATACTGCAACGGTTGTAAAGCGGACATAGGTAGCTTTCTTCAGTGCCATTTTAACTTTGAATTGTCAGTAAACAAATGGTTGTAAGTCGGGGGCTATCTATCTTTTTTTTTAAAAAAAAAAATCACCCAGAATTTTAAAAGCTATTATAATAAACAGTGCAGTTTATTTATACTCTCCTAAAATGAAATTCTGCAGTTATCTTCTTTTTATGGAAGTGGTAACATTTTCTTAACATATCAGCACATTCTACAAGTTTTCCATCGGTTTTATTCTTGCAAACAAGTTTATCAATGCTGTATCGGGTTTTGTTATTATCAATATAAGCAATTGAATAATAATATCCAATTTAAACCAGTATTTTTCAAACTTGGCTACTTTAAGAACTCACGGAATTCCCTAGCCAGAATACTGAGTTCAGTCTTTGTACTGCATTTCAGTGCAGCTCTAATGGTTAGACTGATCACATTTTTTAGTGTTGGGAAATGAGGATGGGAAATCAGTTTAGTAATAACATACCTTTCCTGGAAGTGTTTTGAAGGAACTAAGCCGGCTCTGGGATTGGCATCACTTTCCAGCTTGGCTTGCCACCAGGTTGCATCATCTTGGCTCATGATTTGAAGAATATCACCTTTTCTGAAAGGAAGTCCAGCTTCTTTACAAGGAATTGCTTTATCTTCATTGGGATTATAGTCAAAAAGAGCTTTCATGAAGATCTGGAGAAAAGAATACATTTTTTACACTGAATTATTTAAAATATATGGAATTTATTGTTGTTACTGCTGCTTGTTGGCATAAAATAAGTTTACCTATCATGATAAAAAAAATATTAAATATGGAGAAGCAATGCTGGATTGAACTGGCATTTAAGCCTAAATAAGTAAGTGATGAATTTTACATAGCCATCACATGAAGAACCTTAGTTGAATCCAACAAGTATTTACCTTGCCTTCTTTTGATGAGACTTCTTCTTTGATACTGGGTACAATCTTAAATGTAATGGCTCCTTGGGACAGAGACTAAAATATGTAAATATAAATTATTAAATTATGTTCTTAAAAAAACAAGCAAAAATAAGACAGAATAAATTGATTCCAGTCCAATTCCTATTATTTAATAGGAAACAATTTTGATCTATTGTACATGCATTAAAAGCTACTCTGTTTTCTATCAGAGGAAATTATGTATTTATGTAATACAATGTAATTTAGAAAATGATAGCTGTTTATTAGATATACACTATAAATATACTATAAAGTTTTTTTTCAATAAATTATTTCCTTGAACTTAATTCTGCACTGAATATAAGTAATTATTACTCAAAAGTGTGCAACCTCTCCAAAAGCTAATAATGGATCTTTCAAGTATGATATGACCCAATTGTGGAGAGCAGAATTTAACCTAAAGAACAACACTGGGAGGAGACTTCTTTTAAATTACTATTTTTTGTGTTGGTCTAAATATATCTAGTTTATATTTTATGCAATATTTTATGTAACTAAAATAAATATACATTTATTAGCTTTGTACTGTTCTTTTACCATAGAGTAACTTAGTTGCTTCACTTTTTTATGGAGACTGCTTTATACTCTTTCTCTTTATACTCTTTTCTTTATAAACATCTACTAGAAACTTCAGAAAATAGCATAAAAACATCAATACTGAAAAACTACTCTTCTGTGTTTTTCAATTAAATATTTTATTTTCAACCTACCAGAATTTGTATAATTTCTTCTGGTTTTTTATCCTCCACTGAAATCCCATTGACCTCCTTTAGCTCATCACCTACATGAATGAGACCTACGAAACAGTTATGTAACGGTCAAATAATTCTTATATTGAATGAATCACTGCAACCTGAACATTCTTTCAAATCATGTTCTTTCCAAATAAATTTTAGCTTTACTTGTTCACAAGCCTAGTTGTGTACTGATGACTTACATATGTGTGTGCATATGTACTCACGTGTGTCTATATCAACAAGGAATTATATCCAACATTAAGCTAATGAACTTCCCTAACCACTTCATCCATCACCTGGCAGCCCCTAAAATTTCCTGAGCTAGTTTTCTTAAGGATTGGGAGGTAATGATGAAAATGATTGCTTTTGGCAGAGTTGAAAACTGAGAAACATCTAGAATTAGCTAGATCTATCTTCACAAGAAGAAACTTCACTGATTAATGGAATGACGTTAGACAGAACCAAAGATAGTGAAATTCTTTTTTCAGTAAACATTCTCCAATACTGTATAAACTGTATTCTTTTGGCAAGTTTTTAAAAACCTCTTTGTTCATTACCAAGCAGAATTTCTAATTATTAATATATTAGATATACAATCTACATGAAATGTGATGCATTGTTGTAAAGTGGCAGGAATACATTGATGCTTAAATATGGAAACTGATTTTCCAAATAAAAATAGTATGACAATATGAAGAAAATGACAATTTCCTCCTTTTTTAAGTACTGCATGCATAATATACACAATATCATAATTGCACATCTGTTCCAATAATCTAATCCTGATAAAAGGTGAATTACATTCCATGATATATTAAAATATAGCAAGATCCAATTAATAGATTTTGCTTGATTTAACATTTAAAAGTTTAGAAATTAAATTCTGCATTCAATATTTATAACTGTAGTTTAAAAATTCTTACCACTTCGGTCTGCCGCTCCCCCACGCATTATCCGAGCCACAACAACAGCACCGGTATTTTCATCCCTTTTAATAGTAGCTCCCTTTAAAAATAAATTTAAGAATTACAATAAAATTAATGTTGAACCACATAAAAGAATTTTCTAGCTGCTGTTTTTTGGTAACTTGAAAATTTTTTTAACTACTGCTGATGTTGTTAGTTCTTCCATTTGATTTTTACCAAATTCATCTTGAATTTGGTAAAAATCAAACGGAAGAACTAATAACAGCAACACTAGTTAAAAATCAAGTGAAAATATTAACAACCGAACATCTCCTGGAAATGATCAATTTCATGGTTTCTGGATCGAAGATCTGACAGATTTATGTCTAACTATAATTAAACAGCTAAATGAAAAACTGCATAAAAGAGACGTCAGTGATTGGTTAGTAACTGGCAAAACCTGCATAAAAGAGACGTCAGTGATTGGTTAGTAACTGGCAAAACATAGTGATTTAAAAAAAAAAACACAGGAAAAAAAATCACACCAGGAAACTGTAGGCCGATAACATCCTTGACTACAATATTTAGCAGAACAGAAAGGAAATGAAAGGAAATGCAGAGGCACAAATGATAAACTCTTGATTGATATTTTGATTTGGGAGAAATGCAAAAGCCTAAGAACCAATTTACATATGGTGTGGATTGATTATAAAAGGTATATTGTTTGATCATAAAATATTAGTTTATTATATTGTTTGATCATAAAATATTTGGAAATAACTGGATTCAATAAAAAACATTAGAATGGTTTAGAAAAATATGGGCTTGTCGACATTAGGACAGGTATCTTCCAGGGAGATTCATTATTACTCTTATTATTTGTTCACTACTATGATCCATTTTCACATTTTCATATCTTGGATACCAAACAGCAAAAAATCCTAATGCAATCTCACACTTGGTTTATATGGATGATCGAAATCAAAATCCAGTCATTGACAAATAAAAAATTTAGCAATGAAATTTGGCTTAAATGTGCTACTGTTACTTCTAGGTGAGATGGGCAGCATATGTGGAATAAATAAAAATAAATAAATTGGGGTAAAATCACAAACAATAATGGAATTGAATGCAATCAAGAATTAACAAATCATCAAATGATTTAAAATATAGATCATACAAAGGAACAGAAGAAACAGTGCATCATAAAGCCAGCTTGTGAAAAAGATTGTACAAACTGATATAAAAACAACGTAACACATATGGTCTTTTTGGTCTTCTTGGCTCTCTTTGAAAATAAAGATGCAGAATACAACAGATTCTAGATCCTGATTCCATTATTTTTTCTTTAGCTAATTGTGTGGAATCAGCATGGCTTAAATATGACTGACTGTTCTCACCAAACTGTATGGCAAAGAATAAAAATAAAACCATGTGATACCATCAACTCATTTTTAGAAGATTAGTCAAATGCTGCTGCTATTGCTACTGCTTATTATTATTATTTCAGTGCTAAAACTTACCAGAGGTTCTCTATTTTTTACGAGCCTGATGATTTTTACAGAATCTTCTCCATTATCAATATCGTCAGGCATGGGAGGCAATACAGGATCATAGCTTTTCTCAGCAACAATATCATGTACGGAAAGCAAAGCCTGCAAAAATTGGGTTAAAAATAACCATCAACTAAAAAAGCATAAAAACATATCTCCATTGGTAATTTACCACTACTGCTGCAGACCTTGATATAGTTTGCATTTCATTAGCAGTGCTTTGGCATGAAGTGTGCCTCATAGCTTAGGAACAGTACTTTGTTCCAGAATAAAATCAAAGGAGCTGCATTCTGTATTGTTGAAAGGATGTATTTATTCAATTTAACAAAACTACAACACAAACATAAACTTCTAAAACATCAGTGAAGAGAAGCAGAAAACTGGATTGTTTTTGTTCATGAAAGGAAAGAAAATGTTTAACGGTTATAAGTATTTTAGAGATCTGGTCTTCACAGGATTGTTATTTTTCTAGATTCACCATCTAAAAGCTATTATTCACATGAAAAGAAAAAAAAATTAAGTATATTCATTAATATAACCATGCATCACATTTAGAATGTTAAAGCTAGTAAAATTCAAATTCTTGTAAGAGCTAATATAAATATTGATACTGAATTTGTATGCATGATCTAACTAGAACAGGGGTAGGCAACCCAAAACACTCAAAGAGCCACATGGACCGGTTTCCCACCAAAAACAAAACACCGGGAGCCGCAAAACCCTTTTGATATCTAAAATGAAGATAACACTGCATATATCCTTTTTTACCTTTATTATAGGTGTGTGTGTGTGTGTGTGTGCGTGTGTGTGTGTATGTATATGTATATATACACATTAAAAATAAAAGTAAAAATATGACTCTTGGGAATATCCATACTATTAAAACAATGATCACCAAGAGAATGCTTTAAGAGAATAAAATTACATACACACATAGGTAAAAAAAGGATATATGCAGTGTTATCTTTATTTTAGATGTCAAAAGGGTCTCTCTCTCTCTCTCTCTCTCTCTCTCTCTCTCTCTCTCTCTCTCCCTCCCTCCGTCTCTATCTGCCCTTGGTCTGCCACTCCTCTTCCCCCCCCCTCTCTCTTTCTTCCCCCCCCCTCCTATCTGCTGCTCACCTGGCAAGCTTCAAGCTGTTGTCCAACAAGCTCATGGGTAGGCAACCTCGTCTCTTTTATGACTCATGGACTTCAACTCCTGCCCTTCCTGCTTCCTGCAGAGACGCAGCAAAGGGAGGAGCTCCGCCCAGTAAGCTTTTCAGCTCCTCGGAGAACACTGTGAGTGTACTCTTTTACACATACACACACACACACAAAACACACACACACAGAGACACACACACACACAGAGAGAGATAGAGAGAGAGAAGCAGGGAAGTGCAATTGCCTCTCTCTGTCTCTCTCTGCAAAGGCAGAGGGAGATGGGAGCCACAGGGGAAAGGCTCAAAGAGCCACATGCGGCTCCGGAGCCGCAGGTTGCCGACCTGTGAACTAGAATATTGAAAATCCTGTATCAGACATAGTTGATGTACAATATTCTTTGGACAAAGGCACTGGTACCAATTCTCATTTAAATGTATAAGAAAATATATTAAAATCTATTCTTAAACTGAATTTAGAACTCAATAAAATTGCAATCACCATCATTGTTCCAACTATGAATACATAGTAGGTCTTTCTATCCATTCTCTCTCTTTTGCAAATAAGATATATACTACTGCAGCTCAACAATATCCATACGACATAATATGCTTATTATTTTAAAACAATGACTGCTGCTGAAACAGTGCGGTCTGTGGTTTTTCCTTACCATGTTAATTTTATTTTTACTTGTAAAAAAAAGATAATTTTCTGCACTGAAAGTTTTAATCACTGAACATCTACTCTTCTGCACTGGTGAATTAGTCTGCAGCTCTTACTAATATGGATATAGTACATATGAAGTTAGACACTTTTTTCCATCTTTAAACTCGTTTCCTCTTCTTTGGGATTGTTAATATCAGAGGACACTGGATTGTCTACATATTCTTAAATATCCACGCAAAGCAGCAGCTACTTCATGCCATATGGTTAAAGTACTCATTTTCTTTTCTATGGCACCTCTTTTTCCTCCCTTCCTAATTCAATCCATACTTTCAGAAGGATTTTTAAAAATTATTTAATCAGATCCATTTGCTTAAAATAGAAAAATCACAACATGATACAAAGGTGGCTACCATATTTTTTTCAGCTTTCCAGTCTAATTTACAGTTCTATTAATCCCTGAAAGTCTTCCTTCCAAGTACTAACTATGCCTGATCCTGCTGATTTTTGAGCCCACACAAGGTCATTAAGTCTTTCGAATAAAAACAATTAAATTAGGGAGTCTTTAAAATTCTGCCCAACAGTAGAGTAAGCGTGACAGATGATACTGCTGTAACAACATCTAGTTAATCAATTTTTAAAGTTCTAAAAAAAGCTTTCAAGTGGTACAGGAAAAAAACAAATTCTGAAAAGCAGAAGCAAATTTGAAACAGATGCCCATTATAGCCACCTAATGGGTACACAGAATGAAAAAGAGAAAAGTGGGCCAATGGTAAGCCACGGTGCTCTCTTCTTCCTCTCCCCCTCCCTTTTTTGGCCACCAATCGCAAGAGTTCAGTAGGATTCCAGGATGGATGGAGTGAGAAGGAAGAGCAGCAGTTGAAGCCATTGCTCAGCAAATGGACAGAACTATGCAAAGAGCCTTCATAGAAAAGACTAGTCCACAAAGCGGAAGGAAAGAGAACTGAAGGGCAGGTAAGTAAAATGAAACAGAAATAAATAGCAAAAAGGCATCCAGAACCAGAAAATAGAGGTGTGTGTGTGTGAGAGAGAGAGAGATAAGAGGGGGGAGGGAGGGAGAAGGAGAAAGAGAAAGAGAGAGGGAGGGAGGAGGGGAAATTAGGGTTTGAATAGTTGGCCCGACTCTAACAGATAACACTCATGACTAGCAGACGATTGGATTCCGGCCACCATCAGACCGGTGATGTTACCCAGGAACCAGTGCAGAAGTGGATGGTGAAAGGTAGCCTGGATCTCCAAAGACCAAATCTGCCAGGTGAAGAACGGGACAGGAGGATATCCTAAGGAAGTCACTGCCACCATGTCAAGAAAGTTAAACTTCTACTAGGGGAAGGGGAAGGGAAAGAGAAAAGGAAAAAAGGGAAAGAGAAGAGCAGACATGATTGGTTTTCACCCAGTGTTCAGCCTATTGAGGTCATACAATTATGGAATAGTGTGGGTGGAAAGAACTAGGAGAATTAGACCAAAGAGAAAAGAGATTTGGATGATTTAAATAATTAAATATAGTAGAAAACAATGTTATTTTTTATTTAGAACACAACACTATAATAATTGCACAGACTATAGTATAGTAAATAAAATAGAACTGACTAGAGAGTAAAACAGAACACCACAGGATAACAGAAAGAATAATTTCTGAGAATAAAACAAAATAAACTCTGTATTGTAATGTGATAGATAGAGAGGAAGGGTGGGAGGGATTTTTTTTGGTCTTGGTACATATGGGCATACATACATGCAAGCTATGTTATTATAGTATTCATTTAGAAACTTTTAAACATAAAGATTTATAATATTTTTGGTAAGATACATAGTAGTCTAGCTTATACCAAATGTTCAAATTTAGTTCATTAAACCACTTACTGAAAATGGGTAAGCAACTGTAACCAGGAAGATAACAGACTTGCATGGATATGAAACTACACTGCTGAAGCCGGGGGGGGGAGGGGGAATAGCATAAAAGGGAAAAAAAAATCTTCACTGCTCTATAAAAATCTCTACTTTTTTTTTCTTACTTTATATTACTTTAAGGAATTGAACTGTTCTGGTTTTCTTTCCTGAACAATTTCAGAAGACTGCTTGATTAATTTTTTTAATTTTTTTGTCATTCTCAAAACTATAGATTTATTGCTTGATGTATTTGCCCTGATTTTTGAATTTATTTGCAGCAATCTGACTGCCAACTATTTAACAATTGGGATATAAGAAGTCTATGCTTTTCCTGAAGTCCTTCCCAAAATCATACACAAAGTGTAACAGAATTAGAACATTTCATCCTGATAAATGGAGCTCTTTCTCTTTTCTAAAACATAAAATTAATTCAGTGTATTGCTAATCGCACGAGGCAGTAATGTTCCAGTTGTTATTAACACTGACGCAGGAAAGCATGATGTGTCTCCTACATTAGCCACACACATGCCAATTTTCCTTTGGATACATACCAACACCATTATCATTGTAATGCCTCAAAAGATTCATCTAAATGCTATGCTTTTGGCCTATGTACCTCATCAAATTGCATTTAGGAAGCATACTGTTTCTACTGTTTTTCACAACTTTTATTTTAATCCACATATTTTAGAAGCAGAAATGTCTACTTAAGCGGAAACTGCAAAAGCTAAGAATCCCCCAAACTAGGTCACTATAAACCAAGCACTATCCTCACCACGTGATAGGGTTTAGCATGGAAGAATTTACCAGATAAATTTGAAAAGGTGAATTCTTTTCAAAATGAAGATTCAGGATCACATGATGGACCTATTCAGATCATTTTCTTGGCAGCAATATGGAAATATGAATTTGTCATTTCCACATCCAGCCAACAATCTTTGTAATTCATAGAGGCTTCCTATTCAAGTGCTAGACGAACCCCACTCTACCTAGCTTCTAAGCCCAGATAAATTTGTGTACCTGTGAAAGTGATAGCATAACTGAATGTAAACCAAGTCAGTTTATTACAAACTGAACTTAGCTCTTGTTGAAATGAAAACCAATAGAAGTTAATAAGGGCGAATCGAGACCCAACACAATAATTAGATTAACACATAATAAACCATGGTTTATTTATTCTTGCTTTATTTAATATATTACAATTGGCAAGGTTCATATATTTTTTACCTTTCATTTGGGCGGATCTACACAAATTGCATGTCAATACAAATAACATTATGGCTTATGGAATGTGAGAGCCTAGTATTTGAATGTGGAACTGCAATACTTCAAAGGTCATTTTTACACTTATAAACCAAGGTGAAGGAAGAAATGCAGATTCACTG